GAAAGGATCGCATCTGCTAACCCATGTTCTGATCGTCTGCAAAGCCAAGGAATCAAGCTGGCAGAGCTGTTGTTGGATACTCGGAACATACATTGAAAGGAAGAAGAGGAACCTACAGAGACAGACATGGAGTCGCCGGCCGATTATCTTGATTCTCCAATGGATGGTGAAGATGTGGCATATCCGTGCAAAGGATGCGGAGATGTACGTTCTGGAACATAGGTCATTGCGATTTAATTAGACTGACCGTGATTCACAGATTCTCGAGGAAGGCAAAGCATTCGAGCTTGGTGAGTGACATCTACTACCCACCCTATGCAGGTGGAGTTACCTGGACTTTTCGAATCGGCTTCCCTTACAGTCCTCTGTCATCATGGAGCTCCCCATCTCCAAGTTCTTTATGTCTGACGAGTCCACAGCTGGCAATCGATGGCATTTGAACTGCTTTCGATGCAACACCTGCGGCACCCTCCTCGATTCAGATGCCAACCTCCTCCTACTCGGCGATGGATCTCTCATATGCAATAACTGTACGTATAGCTGCAGCGCGTGTGGCAACAAAATTGAAGATCTGGCTATCCTCACTGGCGATCAAGCATTCTGCGCGACCTGTTTTCGGTGCCGTAATTGCAAGCGCAAGATCGAAAATCTCAGATATGCACGTACATCACAGGGGATATTTTGTATGAGCTGTCATGAATCGTTGATGGCTCGGCGGCGGAAGAAATCAAGGGCTGCTGCAAAACAGAAAAGGGAAGACCAGTCTCCCATGCTGGTGGACAAATCTTTACCTGCACTTCCGCCCAACGCCATTCCACAGAGCGCATTCTCTCCCGACCGAGAAGCTACCGATCCATTGGACACAGATATACCCACTGAGCTTTCACCGAGACCTCGACAAGGTTATACACAAAACGACTCTTCTTCACGTAGCAGCTCGAGACGTCCTCGTGAGCAATCACCAGAGCGGTACTCAAGCGATACGCCTGGGTTGACACTACCAACAACGACATACCGAAACAATCGAAATTCTGCGATTTCCCAGGCCTCTGATCTCAATAGTGGTGATGCCGAAAGCTTCTTCATCCCCCTTGCCCTGGATCCGACACCTGCGCCGAGCATGACCCCGCGCTCAACATCAGAATCGTGGACAGATTCAGGAAAGAGGACAAAGGAAAACAAACCACCAGAGAAGGATTACTTTGGGGCCAAGAGCGTTGCGAGGCAGCAAATCGACAACCAGAAACAGAGAGACTCTTCGGTTCCACATATTGCCTTCCAGGAGAAGGGGCGGCAAGCTTCTGCGGATGAGTTGGCACAGATCAAGGACTCCCTGCGCAAGGCTGCAGCTGGAGGTAAATCTTCCTCCGCCAAAGCATCTCCTGCTGCCGGCAGTGATGATACCCGAGTCCAGCACGCTGCTCATTCCCCCACGCCTTCGAATGCGAACGGCAAAAGTCAGAATGGGAGCGAGAAGTTTCGCTTAGGTGATGTTCCCAAGGGAAAGAAGTCTGGTACTTCACGGACGGACTCGCAATCTGAAATCAGTGAAAATAGCATTTCTCGAACTGGTTCTGGGGGCCTGTCTGCTCCGTCTCGGGGAGAGAGTCAATCTGGTCCACCCCGAACAGACTCACCAAAGCAAATCCTTGGCACAGACAAACTCTCAACGCCTCGATCTTCCCAAGATTCCAGGATAAGAGAAGAGCTGGAAGCCAGACATTCTTTAGAAACAGCTACTTCTCCATCACGAATCAATCGAATGGATTCTGGTGGAACTGCAAGATCGATTCCCCGCAAGGAAATACCTTCTGGTGCGGTGAAGAATACTATGAGCTCAATCAGCTCATCCTCGGGAGCAGACACTTCACCCTCTTCTGCATCTTCTTCGGAGACTCCTGGGGTCACGCCAAACATGGCTGGCAAATCAACCTCCGCACCATCAGGGCTACAATCACCGATGAGGGATGATCTAGCCCCTCCTGGCCGCGCACCAAATCGTCCCTCTGCTCCTCAGCAGAAGTTAAGCGATTCATATATGACTCCTCGAGCTCCACCAGCTCCTCCAACTGCCGCAGCGCAAAACCCGCAAGAATCAAATGCTTCAGCAACTGGCCCGCCAGTTTCGCCTAAGCTACCGCGATGGAGTGCTGGTGGAGATTTCACAATGGACGAAGACATGGCTCGAATCTTGGGCAACACAGATGAAAGCTCGCAGTCAATCCTTCGTCGTGTTTCGAACGCTGTACGCCACGGCCGAACCGCGAGTGAACAGAGCAATGGACGGCAACCAGGACATGGACGCAGTGTGAGTGAGACTACACGGACGACAGCATCACCACGATGGCCCAAGACACCTATTTTTGAAGATGTAGCCGCGAAAGATATCAGCAGTCCAATCTCAATCGCGTCTCCTCGCTCTGGTGATGATCCAGCTCTCCTTCGGAGACAGCTCCGGAATTCGGAACAGCGGGTCGCAGAACTTGAGCGCCAATTCATGAGCGAAACGGATCTAAAAGACTTGAACAAGAAATTGGTTGAGAAACGCAAGACTGTTTCTGTCCTGGATTCTCAAACAGAAATCATGATTCGACAGCTTGAAGTTCTAGCCGGTTATGTAGAGAGAGCCAAGGGTACCAAGCAACCAATCAACATTGCCGAGTTAGAAGAATCGGCTATCAAAGAATTCGTTCAGAAGTTGGAGCGTCTGAAGCAGACAATGTCTGGTGCAGTGGAGACCTTGTATGAAGAGCGCAATGATCTTTTGGAAGAAAAGAACCAAATCATTGCGGATCGCGATAGGGCATTGGTGGAGTTTGAGCAGCTTTCATCGAAGAATGCCCAGCTTGCAGATATGAACAACGACCTGACACATCAGATTCAAGAGCGCTTCAAAGCACAAAGTGGGCCTGGTCTTGAAAGTCCAAGACCTCCTCTGAACGGCCTCGGAATCTATACTCATCACAGCAAGGCCAAGTCCAACGTTTCTGTACTCTTAGATGATTCAAGTATTCGAGCTTCGACGAGTACAACTATGTTCGGCTCCGTCGGCAGTTACCCACAAGCTATGGATCAGGACCCAAGCATGGAACCAGCTACAGTTCTTTCTGCGCCTCACGTCATCAACATTCGCAAGGGCCAGGCAAAGAAATTCAATTGGAAGAAGGGTGGTCAGACGGTAGCGAAGGGTGTGTCTAAGGGTTTCAAGGGAGCTTTCGCTTCCGTGCAACAGGAACGCGGTCAACAGTGGCAAGGCCAGACAGGTGATAGTATTGGCCTGCCGTACAACATGACAGTCCAGGCGGTTGAAGCACCAGCAGTCACGACCCAACCTGGTAGCCTTACTCGAAATGGTTCGAATGACCCAAAACAGGGTGGGTTTGGTCTTTTCAAGAAAAATACCACAATGCCGAAATCCATGTCCAGTGGTGGTTTGGCGGCTGCAGAGCCTCCATCGACGCTTTTCGGGTCTGAATTGGCTGAGAGAGCTGAGTACGAACGTCGTCAGATTCCAAGTGTGGTGACTCGCTGTATTGAGGAAGTCGAATTGCGCGGAATGGATACAGAGGGAATTTACAGGAAGACTGGAGGAAGTGGCCAGCAAAAGATTGTGCAGGAAGGATTTGAGAGGATTGAGGATTTTGATATCTCAGACCCCGAGTTGGATATCACGGCTGTCACCAGTGTCTTGAAGCAATACTTCAGGAAACTCCCAACGCCACTTTTGACTTTCGACGTCTACGACCGAATCTTGGAATCCATCAGTAAGAATCTCATCTTTTGCTCATGCGCCCAGCTAATTGTATATCTAGCTATTGAAATTGACTCCGAAAGATGTGCTCATTTGAAGAGGACATTCTCAATGCTCCCTGATAAGCATCGTGACTGTCTCGAATTCCTGATGTTCCATCTCTCTCGAGTTGCGACTCGCGAAAGCGAAAATCTGGTAAGTCCCCCTGTATAGAATGAAGATTGAAATTTCCTAACAAAATCCAGATGACTACAAAGAACTTGGCCGTAGTATTTGCGCCAACAATCATGCGAGATCACAGCCTGGAGCGCGAGATGACAGACATGCACTCCAAGAACACCGCCATGCAATTTATCATCGAGCACAGCCATGAGATATTCGCACAGTAAATGGCTTCACTCAGCCCTTCTCTTTGGCTCGGAGCAGACATTTTTGTAATCCAACTTGTATATTTTGGCTCCCATTCCCGAGACGGTTGGGCATGGAATGCGAGGAGGCGTTTCCTTTGGATGGTGTGAGCGGACTGCTTTGTTTGTTTTTACAATTGGTGGCATGGCGGATAGATTTTCTTCTCATCCGCGAATCTTATATACTTTGGTGTTCATGATTAACTTTGATTTGCTGTGGAAAACTTTTGCTCACTGCTTCTCGACGTTGTGCGAAGGCTCCAAGTCGAGGATCGGCTTTTGCGTAGATTGATATCCAGATTCATATTTGCGAGAGAAGGAAGAGATGGGAACTCATGGAGGATGTGATAGGGGTACAGGGAAGTGATGATGGGTGTTACGAGGCAGTGCAAGAAAAAGTCTTTCTTGACCCATTAACTTAGGATGAGAGAGCATCAGAAGAAATGTATTTAGATACCTCGATGTCCTAAGATATTGTTTCCCTTGGTTCGGATTCCGCGAGTCCGTGATTTGAATTTGGTCTTGTGAAGTACCCAGGTACTATGGTACATGCGATGTGATGCATTTCGAACGTTGACTTGTAAAACGAGTCGAGCACATGTAGCGGGTATCCTAAGTTGTGAATCTCCGGAGGAGTCTCGACCGATTTGGCGTTCTATCACAGACAGTGCTTGACCAAAAAAAAAATATGAGCAAAGTCATCTACATACTACAGAACATTGCTAACGAAAGAGGAAGGTTTACTTTTAGTGCCTCGTAACAAGCTTACGACCAAGTGTACAGATTTGTGAAGATTTTTCGGTTATATATTTTTGTATTAGGCTCCAGCTAACCAATCATCAGCCTTGATGGTCTAGCGGTATGATTCTCGCTTAGGGATTACTCTGAGTATGATTGCGAGAGGTCCCCGGTTCAATCCCGGGTCAAGGCCTGAACATTACTTTAATTGATTCCGGAGTAGTGTTTACTTTTGATGTTTCCGGGGGGTTGGAGTTGACTTTTATATAGAAAGAAGCTGGGCTTGACTGAGTGAGGGTGTTTAGTTCTCGACTTGTACCTTTGGGCCGTTCATTTGCTGCTGGTGGAACAATAAGTGACATATTGGTACTACTTGCGAAGCCAATTATAATTAATAGGAGGTGCTTCTAAAGGCGCGAACCTAGAGATAGAGGTTTCGAAGTTATAGTTGAGATTTCTGGACCTTTTTTTTTGGTCTGTGCTGTGGGGGTGCTTTTGGGAAAGATCTAAGCGAACCCCTCGCTTAGTTTGGATGCAGTAAACACGATTCTCATGCAATCTGCAGGAGCTTCTTGAATAATTAAGCAGCGGGGGGGCCGTGAGGGTCGTAGATGAGATACTTTATTGAGTTTTGTGGGAAATTATAGTTGTATCTACTAGTTTTTTTTATTTCTCCCTTAGTGGCGCAGAGAGCACTGCTCTTGGCCGGTTGAATATTGAGTCTACCTCGCTTGGAGCTTGAAGGATCCGAGAGATGAGAGACGAGGACGAGGTTAGTAATGCTCGCATTAGGAATAGTCGATCGATGCTATTGATTTTATTAAAAGATATACTATTGAAGAGGTAGTCCCTTTACAATTCTCCGGACGCGGTGTGTAATTTTATATTGTTAATTGGCCAGGACCGGATAGTAGAAGTGAATATGTTAAGGTGATATGACCTTGATATGTTGTATAACTTCCTGTCGTCGGAAAAACCATCCTGACTTCGATGAGTCTGAGGAGATTCACTTCATCTCCCTAAAAGACCAAGCCTTTCCATTCGGGCATCATCGACCACTCGCCTTATTTATCACTACGCCTCCCACGGCCATCACCTCGCTAGGCTCACTCTTTGTTTCGTTCGAGTTAGCAACACGTGAACGACGCCGTGCGATTTGAACTTACTTCGGGAAAGACTTCGTTCGAATCCAGAACGAATCCATTTTCTGGCTCCTGATAGCCTTAGGCGGTCTTCGCATCGTCCTGTTCTTGGCTGGTCTCCTCTGCTTGAGGACATGGATTGGACTCGTGACGTGAGAGTGATTCTCGACTCAAATTCCCGAAGCAGTTTTGTGACTTTTGATTGTCCACCATTCGAGATCGTGGTTAGGTCTAGTGACATTGAACATGAATATTTCGTCGATGTAAATTCGGTAGGTGGTATGCTGACTTTAAGAGCTCCCTAGATCCAAGGTCGTGGAATTTTTTGGTAACTTTAAATTCTTACTTTAGGCAAGATCATAGGTTGATTTTTTAATGTTGAGTATTCCATAAAACTTCTTGGTATTACAAGTCTGGCTTGACATGCCGTGCCCAGACTGAGCATATTTTCATCAAAGTTTTGTCACTCATAGATGTTGTTGTGCTCATCAGCACCCTTCTCTTCCTTCTAGCACCTTTTCGTGAAGACCTGGAGGATAAGTAATGTTGGCTTCGCTCAGTAACCACATTTTGCTTCGTTGACAGTCTATACCACCTCCAAGTGTTGACTTCTGGCTGTAGCTTATAGCTTCACAGGCTTTACGATTTATATATTCTCATTGCTGCCTTGACTGTTTGGTTATTGCTTTCCTTTCTACCTTTCTACCACTCACCTCTACAGACGGGAAACTTAGCCCACCTCGTGCTCATAGCCTTATTAGCAACCTTGCAACCTCATCTACCCTCTACATTCGTCGTTTGTCTTCAACCTTTCTATGATATTAGACCATTTCTCTTCTATCATAATCTCATTTGTTTTTGAGTCAGTGAAATTTCTCGCCTTCACTACCAATTATCCTTATTCACTTCTGCCAAAAACCAGCTGGCCATAACTACTTCCTGCCATAAATTGCTCGATTTCTGCAAACATCTCTTGCTGTCCACCAGATCACAGCGACGAGACTGCTCCATCTCGATTATCGATCAAGGCTAGGGGCGAGACAATGCCTCCTAAAACAAATTTACGAGGCTTCCTCCGCAAAGACATTCGTCGGAATAAGATCACAACTGCACCTCTCAAAGGCCGCACCCTTGCTTTTCCAAAGCCAGTAACTGAAGAGGCTAATGAGCTTGATTATCCCTTCGATGAGGATATCACGGAATCGAAGGAGAATAATCCAGGATCAAAGCCAGACAGCATGTCTGTAAAGCCAATTGTCAAGGAAATGACCATGGAACAGAAGCGTCAGGAAATTTTGCAGCAGTTCATATCGAAAAGCAACGAAACCAGAATGTTTACTCGGAAGGATACGAATACAGAGAGCCTATTTTTGAAAGGGCTGAAGAAGGATCTTGAAGAGCTTGTCACACGAGAGGAACAGGCGAGCCGTGAAGAGAAATCGAAGCTCCGACTCGAAAAAAGCACTCTAATTCGAAAGATCACCAGTGTTGAGACTGAGGAGAAAGGCAACAGAGCGAGACAATTAAAATGTAATTGTCCTTGAGATGCTTCAAATTAGCTTCCTGACTCAATCTTCTAGCGAACCTCGATGAGTTCTCGAGATGTCTCCCAGCTTGTACATCCGAGGAGAAGAATACTACGAAGGCCAAAGCCAAGCAAATTGCTAAGGCATTCGCAGGGTTTGAAGTGAATTCCGATCACATTGATTCTTGCATTGTTTTGCTGACATTGACATCTGCTAAGAAAACCCCATCGAAACGAAATCGCGAAAATACCGATAATGATCTCGATGGTGAGGAGAGACTACGGATGGGCAAGTCTTACAAGCGGCCGGCTATGGAAGTCACGGGCCACTGGGGAATGACTGTACATGATTACTTTCCTGATTTTGAGGGAAACGGTTTAGATCGGGATGCTCTAACTGCCGAAGAGAAATTGCTGAATCGTAGGGAGCTAGCGGAGTTAGGAGAGGCCCTGGCTAAAGCTGAGCGGAAAAAGAGATTGCTGGAAAAGTAGGGGCGGCACTTGGCAGGTTCTGGGTCAATTGATAGGCGACTGTATTTGTAATACGTTGATTTTCTCTTGGCTGGAAGGAAATATCAATAATTCATCATTGAAAGGTGACCGTTAATAGTCGGTCACGTGGATCAAAAACAAAATCACAAGGTGAAAAGCCATATCTTTAAACGTTGAACGTCAAATATTGATATGAGTTGATGACTATACCATAATGTGGTCATACAAATGTGAAACAATAACAGGCCGCTGCGCATAGTGCGCTTTGAACCCCCGCGATGAATGATAGTATTCATACGATAGCGTAATACTAGGTCACGTTACCTACTATGCAACACTGGATTTCATTTAAGCCAGCTAGATTGTTGACAATAAAGGCAATCACGTCGCGCAACCTGCGACATTCACTCCGAACATACTCGCTACTGCCCAAATCAGGCACCCGCTTGCGATTTTCTATAGACTGCGCTCATGTTCGTCGCAATCAATGCCAACACACCAGCCACGGTGCCGCGTCTAGAAACATCAAGATCACGGTCACCAATCGCTGCCAATATGGATTCCAATCCATCGTCTCCACACCCTATGGACAGTCTGAGAGTGAAGCCACTTTCGTGGACTGACGATCACAAAGAAAAATTTCAGGAGATAATCACGTCTCTTGGTAGCACAGTCGGCACTACAGGTGCGCCAACAAGCCATGCTCAACTCTTCGACTTGGCGTCCAAGAAACTCGCCGATCTCGGTATCATTAAATCTACCACGCAATGCAAAGACAAATGGTATCGGATGTCAAACAGAGCTGAGAATGAGGCTTTATTTAATTTCACTAGGGGCGGGTCCAAGCATGGTACATTTGGGGACGACAAACTTGAAGTCGTGGAGCCTGTGGCTGAGGAACCTTTAGATTCCAATTTTGCCCAAGATGAGGATTCACTCATTGCCGGAAACCGCGATGAGATTAATGCAGATAGCAATGATGTATCTGGTCATAGATCCACAATGCGCTGGGATGATAGAGAACGTGACTTTCTCATTGAGCTGGTCAGAGGTAGACGTGAACTAGAGCTTCAGGACACCACTCAACCTGTGTTCAACGCTGGCCAGCTATTCAAGTACGCATCCACCGAGTTGCAGAAACAATACGGTATCGAACGAACGGTCAGCTCCTGCACGATCTTTTGGCGACGAAACGTTGCTGGCACATTCGGATTTGGCTCGGGGAACGAGGCTACAAAATTATTGCCTGGCTCAAATAGTGCTAGCAAAACCATGAAGATAGAAGAGGCACCGAGCATGACTTTGAGGGAGACGCCGACAAAGTCAAAGCGATTACAAAACAGCCTCCAGGAACCTCAATCACCCAAAGAAGCAAAGCAACCAAAGCCACCAAAGCCCGCCGCGAGAGCCTCATCACCAAAGCTTGGCCGCAAGTTTACCACGGCTCAAAAGGAAGCTTTAGCGGCAGAAGCTGAAAAGGGATTAAATCCTAGTCAAGAGGTCAGAGCACGACTTGTTCAAGAGCTTAACTTGACTGGACAACAGGTCTCTGTAAGCAATGTTCTCTACACAAGGTTATCCTCGCTGACATTACATCCTAGGGGTACTTTGGTAACGCTCGCTTCAAGGCTAGGAAGCTAGAACTGATGGAAACTCCTAAGGAAGCCGATGGTGACGAAGGAGCTGACGAGGACGTTTCTCCAATGTCTATAACAGCCCAAGACAGTGGTGCTCCAGACAGTGAGGTCAAGAAGAGAAAATATAGAAAGCGCAAGCACCCAACGTCTATTGATTCTGATGATGAGCCGCTGTTGGCGCCCTTGATCAAGCATGCACCTCAGAGTGTTGATTCTGATGCCAGCTTTGGAGTGGAGGAGAAAGTTTACGGAGTAAGTGCTTAAAATCATGCGCTAAAATTCCTCCAGTAAAACAGTGCTAATGTAAAATATGCACAGAGCCGCCCTGGAATGCTCAGGCGCAAAGCTCCTGTACGTGACCCATCGTTGCCGTTCCTGCCACCACCAAGCTACGAGG